TAATTCATAATTTTTTGGTTCTAATCACATTTCAATTAAACTTGGAGACATAGATTTTCTGTTACATTGCGCAGACCTCATTAGTTTTACACTCAAATCTGGTCATATTAATTTTCTGATTTGCATAATTAGTTTTCAGCTAAGTAATTTCGAATTATATTTAATGTGTCTCCAATACTCTCAGCACATGGGAGTTCTTTCTAAGCTTTCTTTGATTATAGATTGTTATGGATGTTTCTGAGTATGAGATAATTTTTTTTTTTAAAGTGTCACACTTGTCGGGCAGTTCACATAAAAAATAAAAACAGTGTATTTAAAATGTGTTGTATTTGTTGCATTCAACCCATATTCAATATAACACAGTGTGATGACTGGTGAACTATGATGTTTTTCTTGACATCTCTGTAATCTGATTGATCTTTTTTGCTTCATATTGTGGCGTAGTACCAATAAGTCGTAGGGCTAGCGTGTGCATGCTGCCCTCAGCATTATTATGAGTTGTACTCAATGGATCATTCCCAAAGCTTTTTGGGGTTTTAGGACTCCTGGTATTTTGTGAAATATTGGTCTTAATTTGTGGGAATTGCAGGGGAAAATGAATCAAAAATTAAATTTTTTTAATGTTGTCCATCCTTTAAGTTTTTATTAAATTGTAATAGTGTTGTGATGCATATTGTTAAACAAAAATTCACCTCCTCTTTCTGTTTGTACACGCCACCACTAACCCTAATCTTCCGCTCAAGCACTCCCTGATTTAATTGTATATACCCTATAAACAGATGTATTGGGCTTGAGTGATGAGGGGTACAAAAAGTACTCTACCCTCACTTGGTTAAACATTTCACATAATAGTTCCAGTGAATCTATATGAATGATCTTCAAGGTTCACTTTCTTAGTTAAATTATTCTAACTGCATAATATTTCCATATTGGAGAATTAAAGTAATTTGGACCACTACTTTCCATGGTCGAAACAAAGAAATACCGGTAAGCCAGTTACGAGGCATAAATGGTCACTTGAGAGGCGTTGTGGACCTACCCGTTAGTACCTTCCATGTTTGGAGATAGGTATATTTACCAATCAACATTGATATTTTGTGTGTCTTATTTTTTACTTAATATTTGTACCGGTAGTTTTAGATGCAATAAATTTGAGATTCACAGTAACCCAAGTAAACATTTGTTAACTCATTTCGGCTATTTGTCGAGGTTTTCAACAGGCCGAGTTAGTACTGTGTGTGAATCATAGTGTCAGTGTTGCTCTCTGTAATATGCCTTGCATATCAATGGTCACTAAAATTGTTAACTGCAAAGAATTTTATTTTATTTCATCAAGTCTATCCATGAAGTTACTGGTCAGGCCTCAGTAATTGCAATCTGAGTTTTTTTTAATAAATGATATCTGAAGCTAATCCAATTCAAGATGGGGACGCATTTAAAATTAATCATTTATATCATTTTGGGGTCTATATAACATAGGACATAGATGAACACTATTCGCTTTACTAATGAATTCTGACATCTTCGATTTGATCTCTTCCAAACTTCACAAAAAGACCATGCACACCCCCACTTAGCCATATCTTTGACTTGCTTGCTTTGATTGAATTCAAAATTTAAATTATGTACATTTGTACAGCATGTAACACATATGGACATTCATTTTCTCCAAGTTTTGATTCAAGATTGGTGACTTTATTATAGTAAACATGCACCACATAAATATTTAGTGGAAGGGGATTTCATGCATTTGTGAATTGTGGTCAAGTTTGGTACAGGGTCCATAGCGTTGGGAAAATCCTTTGAAAGTCTTTGAGTTGTCTTTAAATTACAGGAATAATAAAAAATTCTTGAAAAAGTCTTTAAATTTCTTCATCGTTATTAATTCATTTTAGAAAGGCTCGTTTTCTGCAGGAAAGTGTCATATCCTCAGAACTTTGGTGATGATGTTGGCCTCAATTAAGGGCCAAAATGTCTTGGGGGTGCAAGAAAGTTTGGGAAAAGTCTTGGAAATCGTTTGGCTCTTCGTGCTATGGAGCCTGTGGCACATAACTATATATGACAGAACCTTTGTTTGTGAAACATTTTCAGTAATTAGTCCCCGTTCGGACGCAGTCCGAAAACTGGGACTTATGTTTTGCCCTGTGTGCGTCCGTGCATGCGTCCGTGATCACCTGTATCTCGAACATGCATGGACCGATTAAGTTCAAACTTCACTCATACATCACACATTATATGGGACATATGCACATGCATTTTTTTCATGATCCGATTAACGATAGCCGAATAGCGGCCATTTTAAGGCCGAAAATGCATCAAAATCGCACATTTTCACCATTCCGGACCCGGATCTCAGTTATGCATGGACGGATTTTGTTCAAATTTGGTACATACATTAAACATAATAGGACCTTCATGCACGTCATTTTTTTTTTTGGATCGGGTTCGAAATGGCCGACTGG